GCATTGCCACCTGTTATTCCTGTACTTCTGTCACACACACATATACACATTATTTATTTTGATTAGGTAATTTGACTTTAAGCAGCTTAAAATTAATGTAAACTATGGTTCCAAAGTAGTTACTTCTGAGTGGATACGAAATAGGAGTAATGTGCATTTTCTATTACAGTAAAGTTTTCAGATGCTTAGACTTATAGAATTTTTTTAAATAAATTGTATTTTATTCATGATAGAGAATGTGTGAACATGCTAGTGAGAAGGAAAGAGAGAGACGTATTCTTAACGGTACTGTGACACCAAAATCTCCTTTCCTGGCCCTCTAGTTTCTATGACTTTTGGGTGCGTACCTGGATCCGAATCCATGGTCAGCATATGGCTTCCAGCCTTGCAGGGTGCTGTGTTTTACTTATGCACCACAGCCAGAATCTTGAAGACACAAGGGCACTTTGGATTTCATATAAACTAACCTACTTTAGAAGTATTTCAATAAGTAAATAAGTGACTTAGCTAAGGTCACAAAATTGGTGGCAAAACAGAAAGCTGATTTTCCAGGTTTCTTTATTCCTATTCTAATGGTGTAGTTAAATCTGTGTAGGAGGGGCCAGTAGGTGATGTGGAAGTTAAACTGGACTCCCAAATGGCAGGCCATGGTTAAAGTCCCAGATCAGGCAGCTTACTTTCTCAGTTTCTGTCTCTTGCTGGTAAGTATACATGCCCTACAGCAAAATAATAATGATAAATAGAATTAATCTTGAAAAAAAATCTGAGTAGGATATTCATACCATGAAAGTACTATATTATTTAAAGAGAATTGTTAGACAAAGGTCAACTTAATGGGGTACTTTTTCTATTTTTAAGTTTCTATTTACTTACTCCACAAGTTGGAGAGAGACAAAGACAAAAACAGTACTCCTCACAGGATCCCAACATTGCGGTCTACCCCACCCACCCAGATCACAGGCACACACATATGTGAAGTGCCCAGAGAGGTCTCCAGAGATGAACTTATGCTGCCATCTAGCCCCGAGAATTCTTTTTTTTTTTTTTTAACTCTGGGAAGATATCTAACTTCTAGGCTCTCAGTTTTTACATGTGCGGGACAGCCAAGAGCTCTTGAAAATTCTTTTTAGGTCTAAAATACTCTTTTCCAAAAATGTAAGAAGTCTTTAAAAGCCAAACTTTATAGGGAATCATATTTATTCATTCTTCCCCAAAGGAAATCATGTCAAATTATAGTAGGAAAAATTATATTACCTTTTAGTATATGCTATATATATTTTTTAAGGCTTTTTAAAAAAAATTTATTTATTTATTTTTATTTTTTTGAAGAGGTTTTTGCTATAGGGCGTGTGCGCTCCCCAGAAAGACAGAGAGAGACAGAGAGATAGAAAGTGAGAAATCACCCCCCAGGGGGGATGGCCACGCTGCAATCCCTTCTCCTCCATTCTCCTCTTGGGATCTTAGGCACACATGCACACGCGCCCAACATGAGTTTAAGCCACCGAGTCCGGGACTCCCAGTATATACTATATTTTAATAATTGTTTAGCATTAATGCAAAGAGAAGCTTTATTTCAGGACATTTAAGAAGAAAATTACTGGGGACCAGCAGTTAGCGTAATCGCTATGTCGCTGGACTCCCATGTAGTCGACTGCAGTTCGAGTCCCAGACCCTGTTGCTTAAACTCACGCTGGGTGCATGTGCATGCATGCCTAAGATCCTGAGAGGAGAATGGAGGAGAAGCGATTGCAGTGTGGCCATCCCCTCTTGGGGGTGATTTTTCGCTTTCTGTCTTTGTCTTTCTCTGTCTTTCTGGCGAGCGCACAGGCCCTACAGCAAAAACCTCTCACCCCCAAAAAAAGAAAAGAAAATGACAACTTAAGATAGTGTAAATTTATCTTGCTTTCTAGAAATGACCATACTCTCTGGCCATGTTAGTAACTAATTCAATGACTAGAGACCTATGTCTGCTTCAGTAGACCCTGCGACTGTGGTGTCTAGGGTGTTCTGAGGTTTATACCACACTTAGTGTAGGGA